CTGTGTGTGTGTGTGTGTGTGTGTGTAACTTTTGATAGTCTGAGCCTGTTTATTCTCTACACTGGTACAGGATTGATAACAGGGTTTGTTGAGGTTAACTCTTTCTGGTTCTGTCAGAATCAACAGGGGCTCTACTCTGAGCCTAACCTATTCTGAAGCAAAGCAGACTTATCCTGAAGTTACAATAGTTCAGCACAGCCATACTTCCCAGGGCAGTGTACACACAGACGTCCAACATGTCACTCTAGCATAGTAAAACACAATCAGGAGCCAGGTATGGTGAATTATGATTGTAATCCCAACACTGCTGGCAGGAGAATTGACCTGAGTTTAAAGTCAACCTGGGCTACAAAGCATTCAGGCCAACCTGAACTAGAGTGAAACCCTGCCTCAAAAAATAAGTAAATTCAGATTCTAATTAATTATTAGAATTTAGAATCCTTCAAATACATCTTACCATTAAGAGACACATACTATATCTCCCCCTTGAGGAGGGATCTCTGCAGGTGTCAAACAGGAGATTGAACCTTTCAAAGAGGTAAGAATGAAAACATGGCACAGATTGACTTTGTTAACCTGAATCAGTCTTTGAGGAGTCTAATGCTAGGGGGTTCACTGTCAGCATATTTAAAACACAGTACAATTTGGGGAAAGGCTTCCAGGAGACACTCAGTCCAATCACAAGTGCACAATAAAGCTTGAGGTGTGACTACATAGAAACTCCTTCACAAAGTACATGTGACCATGAAGGTTGGTTCTATAGCGAGAAGGTCTAGAATGGAATGTGGTCTCTGACTGATAGTATAGAGGTCAGTAGGCCATAATGTACTTGTGACATCTACCCTAAAGATGGGTAATGAATGGTCTAGGGAGGCCAGAGTCTGGGATAATCATTCTGAGGATTTGTGTGAGGTCTGCCTCCATAGCGAAAGGTGGGTGAAGTCTGCATCCACAGATAGCAAAACGGTCAACAGGCCATGAACAAAAACCACTCTCAGCTTTCTGGATGGAATTCAGGTATTTGATTCTTATCACCTCCATTGAGGAGACCTACACATGTAACATGTCTGCAACCTCCCACCTTAGAACTTTCACCATCTTCTCTACAAGGTCTAATGGACATTCTTTTTCCTGATGAGTCTGGCTTTTTAAAAGTCTGAAGTACAACAATCACTTGTGACCTTGCCACTGAATAAACTGCTGAATCATTGCTGTAACCCAGCTGCCTCCTTCCTCAACTCTGAGATTACAAAGTGTCACGTTCAAAGTGTAACCCCAGCCCTCCAAGAATTGTTCTAGCCTGGTTGGATGTCTGTTGTTTTCCAAACCTAATCCGTTTACTGAGTGTGATGGATCAAGTCTCTAATCCCAGAACTTGCAAGTTGGAGGAGGCAAGATCAGTAGCTCAAGATCAGCCTTGGCTATAGAACAAGTTAGAGACAAATCTGGGCTATGTGAGACCCTGTCACTAAATAAATAAACAAATAAATAAATGACATAATATCGAATGGTGTAGTTTATAGTTTGGGCCATTACTCTAGTTTGCTTTCTATTCCTCTACACATGACACAGATCAAAACCAACATGGGGAGAAAAAGGTTTGTTTCACCTTACACTGCCAAGCCACAGTCTTGCACTGAAGTCTGAACAGGAACTCAAGCAGGATCCTAGAAGTAGGAACTGAAGGAGAGACTGAAGGGGCTCTCACAAGCCTGAGCATGGCAAACGCAGGCCACACCTCAGCAAACATGGCTCTGCCCAGCCTTGCCCTTCCTAATTCCCTCTGCCTTGATAAAAACTGTTAGGTTACATGCCTAAAGCTAGCCCCCGAAGGTCTATTCCCTTATTTGGCCATTTCCTTCTCCTGAATCTGACTACCAAGGTCCAGCTATCAAAATATTGAAGTTCAGCAAACAAGAGCCCACTTTGAGTCCCTAATTAACATGCTCAATTAAAATTAAACACCTCTTCCTAACACCAGGTTTACTTTTATAGACTGCAATTTACCTAAAGGCAATGTCTGTCTGTCTCCTCTGTATCCAGAGGCAGTCCTTTGTCTCTCTAGGGCAAATATCTCTTCCCCTTCCCCCTTGTTCCATTCCCCTTTCTCCCTCTATTTCCTTCCTGTCTTTGCTTCTAGTTTCCCACCCTTTGTCTCTCAGAGGCAAATAAATCTCCTTTGAGCTGAAAACTTAGTCTTCAGGTAACTTGTGCCAATACAGATCCTTTCAGAGACAATGGAGAAGCATTGGCTTGTTCTCCATGGCTTGTTTAAGGTGCTTACAGATACAACCCAGGAACACCTGACCAGAATGCACAGTGAGCTGCAGCCTCTCACAGCAGTCATTAATCAAGAAAATGGCCCTACAGACAAGCCCACAGGCCTGATGGAGGTGAGTCCTCAGCTTTGAGAGCTCCTCTTCCCAGGTGACTCTTATTTGTGTCAAGTTGACAGAAAACTAATCAGCACAGACACATAATGTGGGCTTAATAACTGCCATCGCTTTAACAAAACTTCTACCTCTGTCTTCTTAGTGGTCCCAGAGACTTTAGGTAAACGCTTGATCTCTAGCAGACTTTACAAGCTAGGCTCAGCCACCTGCCCCTGAAACATCAATTAAATGTACAAGCAGGGGACAGCAAGATGAGTAAAAACGTTGTAAACATTGAAACAACATGACTATATTTAACCACCGAGGAGGACAAAAGATAGTGTAGGCTTATATATCTAGGTAGATAGTGTAAGCCTTAAGCAAGAGTCTCCCTGTAAAGGAGTGTGTGTCCAGGACTTGGAGTTATTTTGGTCATTTTAGCCAAGCCTCCAAGAACACTTTATCTCTTAGGGCTTGGCTGATAGCTGTACTGCAGGAAGACAGGGAAAGTGTGGGTGGGCTCGAAAGAGAAAAGACTGTGGCGCCGGGTGGTGATGGCGCACGCCTGTAATCCCAGCACTTGGGAGGCAGAGGCAGGCAGATTTCTGAGTTTGAGGCCAGCCTGGTCTACAGAGTGAGTTCCAGGACAGCCAGGACTACACAGAGAAACCTTGTCTCGAAAAACCAAAAAAAGAAAAAAGAAAAGACTGTGGCTAAAAGGTATCCTTGTAGGTTAGAAAAGCAGGTTGGAAGTCTGTGCATTGAATTAGTGTACTGAAAGGAAACGAAGCTTTTAAAAGCCAGTCAAAGCTGGGATGGTGGCAGAAGCGCCAGTTTAACCGATTATTAGCCAAGGTCTCCTTGCATAGGCTCTAGGGTTGGGCAGACTAGAACAAGTCCTATTGAGCATGAAGGGGGGGGGTCCACCCTCTAATAGAGGCCTCAGCCTACCCAGAGGGGAGGTGGGATAGCTGCTTTGGCTTTCGAGCATCAAAGCATAGTTGCTAAGCTAAAGCTATGTGTGTATAGAAGGGGGAAAAGAGATTTGGTAAGTCCTGCAGAGATCTAGCTAGAAGATGGGGTAAAATGTGTAAAGCTCCAGAGGTGAGAGAGCTGGACTGGGGTTATTGGGATGTGGAAAAGTAGGATTAGAAAAAAAAAAAAACCTACATATTGGGAACTTCTTGCCACTTGTCATTACGGGTTCTTCTGTTATAACCAAGATCCCCCAGAATTTGGAAGTCAAACATGCTGTTTTCAGGCTACTGGGACAATTTATATTAGAACAAGACAGAGTAATCACTTTATGCTTGAGACACAGTTTAGAAAAGATGGATAGCCTGGCAGTGGTGGTGTATCCCTTTAATCCCATAACTCAGGAGGCAGAGGCTGGCAGACAGATCTCTTAATTCAAGGCCAGCCTGGTTTGTAGAGTATGTTCTAGGACAGCCAGGACTACACAGAGAAACTCTGTCAAAAAAAAAAAAAAGAAGAAGAAGAAGAAGGAAAAAGAAGAAAGAAAGAAAAAGGAGGGAAGGAAGGAAGGGAGGGAGGGCAAGGGAAGGAGGGAGGGAGGGAAGGAGAGAAGGAGGGAGGGAGGGAAGGAGAGAAGGAGGGAGGGAGGGAAGAAGGAAATTGAAGTTATTTTGGAAAACTGGGAACCCATGCTTGTTAGGAAGAACTCGGAGTGTTCTGAGGATTCCAGATGCACTGACAGGCATCCACATCAGTATTCCAGGCAGCAGCAGAACCTCTCCAGGAGAGGTCAGAAAAAGCACAAAATAAATGGCAGCAGGCCTTGACCACACTGAGCTTCAGCTTAGGCAGTGCCAGGGGACTGATCTCACAGGCACCTTGGGAAAGAAGCGAACGGGCAGAGGGGATCAGTTGCCACTTATGGGAGTGAGTATGAGTCCAGCATTGGGCATGAGCACAAAAAGCAAGAAGACTCCCAGGTCTTCAGAAGCTAAAGAAGGGAGGGTAAGAGGAAGGAAAAAAAAAATATCACCTGACGGATTACCGAAAGAGAATTCAGGGAGGTTAAGACCTGCTAAACACTGTAGGTGATTTTGGGTTTCAGCAGAGTCACCCTAACCTGGACTTGAAAGTCCCAACAAGCAGACAACAGCTCTCCTGTAACCGGAGGGTGAAGCTTGAAGGAGTGGGAGTGGGCAGAATAAAAGCCAGGATCCTGAGAGGAGCTGCCACCACATGATGCTTTCTGGATTGCAAGGAGGTTGGGTGGGGAATGGTTTTGTGTACTGTGTATTCAGATGCTGATTTTTGCACCCAGAGATCTGGTTGCAGTCCAGTTGGCATGGTCAATCATTATTGAAGCATCTCCTGTCTCAATGTTGTGTAAAAATTGTCCTCCATCACCTCTGATTGGTTAATAAAGAGCTGATCAGCCTAGAGCGGGGCAGGAGAGTTAAGGCAGGACTTCTATTCCCATTGAGGGAGTCCCAGCTGGAGAGTGTGGAGGGAGTTGCCATGAGGACACAGATGGAGCAAGAGGACCCAGGGTGAGACGAAGATGACAGGTGAATGGGGCACGTGACTGGGAAGTAGCCAGAATAGTCATGCGAGAATAGATGAGTATCTGCCCAGCTTGAATCTTATTAAACATAATTGTGTCATTATTCAGGAACAAGGGAGACATAGAAAAGCGCCAAATAATACTTTTACAGATGTCCTCAAACAGGATACCAAATGTAAGAAGAAAGAGGAGAAGGTGGCTCTATAGAAGAGACTGGTTTATTTCAGAATAAATCTGAGAAGGAGGTCTCATCAGAGAAGGGAAAGAGTGGACTTATCTAACAGCTTAGGACTTTAGTCAGATCCGACGTGAGGGGGCTGAGTTCCTTCTTAATTCAGCCACACATTGTTAATGGTTAAACTAGGACATTCAGGTTTGTTATTAATTATTTTGACTTTGGTACTATTGCAGCTGACACATTGCCACAGGAGAGGACAGAGTTGGAATGGGGTTGCCTCTGAGTCTTGCTCTTGTTCCCAGAAGCACTTACAGCCAAGACTGAAGGCCTGGATTTGATTCCCAGGATACCCCCTGTGGAAGGAAAGATCAGACTCCCATAAGCTGTCTTCTGACCTCCATATACACACTGTGACATATGTGCAAACACACACACACACAAATACAGAAATGCAGTAGTTCTTTCACATTTTTAACTAAAAATAAAAACAAAATAATTTAAAACTTTCAAATTTAGGCACATGTTTGTGTGTCTAGGCCACATATGTGCAGGTTCCTGCAGAGGCCAGAGAGGGTGTTGGGTCTTCTGGAGCTAAGTCACAGGTGGTTTTGAGCCTCCTGATGTGGAGGCTGGGAACGAAACTCCTGTCCTCTGGAAAAGCAGCAAGCGCTCTCAAGGGATGAGTCATTTCTCCAGCCCCATAATAAGAAATACATCTAAAAATTTTTAGGTTTATTTTATGTGTATGTATGTCTATCCTACATTTATGTGTGTGCATCACATGTGAGTCTTGCGTCAGAAGAGGGCATTGGATCTCCTGGATCTGAAGTTACTAAGAACTGAACCTGCGTCCTCTGCAAGAGCAACGAGTGCTCTTAGCTGTAGAGCCATCTTTCCAGCCCAAGTTTTAAATTTTTAAAAGATTTATTTATTTTGATGTATCTATTTTATGCATTGTATGAGTGTTTTGCCTTTGTATATAGATGTGTACTGTATACATGACTAGTGTTCTCAGGTCAGAAGAGAGCATTGGATCCCATAGAACAGAAGTTTCAGGTGGTTAGATTTGGTACTGGGAATCAAACCTAGTTCCTCAAGGCAACAAATACTTTTAGCCTCTGAGCCATCTCTCCAGCTCTACATTCATTTTTCAATATATGTTATTTTTACTTATAGATATGTGTGTGAGTTATTTGCATGTCTCTATGGATGCCCAGGAGTCCAGAGAAAGGTGTTGTGCTGGAGTTACACGTGGTTGTGAGCTGTCTAATGTTACATGTGGTTGTGAGCTGTCTAATGTTACACGTGGTTGTGAGTTGTCTAATGTAGGTGCTAGAATGGAATTCAGTTCTCCTGTAAAAGCAGTGTGAGCTCTTAACTGCCGAGCCATCTCTCTAGCTTAGGAAAGATAAATAAGGCTTTTGTTGTTGTTAAGACATAATCTAACTACAGTCCTGGCTGAACACACAGATATCCATCGTCTCTGCTTCCTGAGTGCTGGAATTAATACCATGGACCACCCTGCCAGACAAAAAGATACATTCTTATCATCAAGTGCTCTGTTGAATCTAAGGAAAATCTGTATGAACAAATCTTGTTAATTGAACTTACCTTCCTAGTCACCTCTTTACACAATTAAGGACCCTATTGTCTTTAAAATAATTTCATTTCTGCCAATATTGGTTACAATATTGAGACCCTGCTTCAAAATCACTAACACATGGAGTCATTTGTGCCAGCCCTTCCTAAAGTAACTAAAGCCAAGAGGTTATCAAGAAATGATTCGCCGGGCGGTGGTGGCGCACACCTTTAATCCCAGCACTTGGAAGGCAGAGGCAGGCGGATTTCTGAGTTCAAGGCCAGCCTGGTCTACAGAGTGAGTTTCAGGACAGCCAGGACTATACAGAGAAACCCTGTCTCAGAAAAACAAAAAAAAAAAGAAAGAAAGAAAAGAAAGAAATGATTCTTATGGACACAAAATGAATGCCTTCTAATCTTGGCTTCTACTTTGGTTTTGTTTTGAGACAGGGTCTCATGTAGCTTGTGCTGGTCTCAAATCTACTATGTAGCCAAGTGTTTGACTTTGAATCTCTGATCCTTCTGCCTCCACCTCTCAAGTGCTGGAGTACTAGTGCATGCTACCACTTACAATTCATGTGATGCTAGGGGAAAACGCAGGCATACTTTGCATCCTGGGAAAGCATTCTGCCACTGAGCTACATTCCTCCCGCTTCTGTTAATGGTGTTTATTTCTGACACAGACATACTTCTGAAAATTTCCCACCAAATCCCTCAAAATTAGGATCTGGAAACAAAAGCCAGGCAGTGATGGTGCATGTCTTTACTTCCAGACTCAGGAGGGCCTACCACCTTCAGAAGTCGACCTGTGGTAAATGTGAGAAAGTATAACTGGAGTGCCAAGGCTAAGAGACAAAGCACCACTAGGACTAGTCAGATTAGCCACCAAAAATTGTCTGTCGCAGATTTAGACATGGATTCCATGAAGGAATATTGTTATACCTAAATCCAACAGGGCAGCTGTTGCAACATTTAGTTCATCTTGAGGATTTCAATCAGTCATAAAACAAATGTTCTGGTTTTTTTTTGGGTTTTTTGTGACAGGGTTTTTCTGTATATCCCCGGCTGTCCTGGAACTCACTCGGTAGACCAGGCTGGCCTCGAACTCAGAAATCCGCCTGCCTCTGCCTCCCAAATGCTGGGATTAAAGGCGTGCACCACCACTGCCCGGCATCCTGGCTAACTTCTAAACTTACTGTAACCTACATCTTAGATCAATGCTAAAGAGGGAAGGAGGATTCTTAACAACTTCTGGAGCCACCAAAATGCAGTATCTTTCCATTGTGAAGAAACCTGATTGCTAAATCAAGCAAGGTGGTCATTGCTTTTATTCCCAGCACTGGGGAGGCAGAGGCAGACATCTGTTGGGAGATAGTTTTGTGCACATGGCATTCAGATGACATTAGTTGCTGTCCTGGTTTAAATATTCTTGGCACTATAAAGAGTGGCACTATTGGGAAGTGTGGACTTCTTAGAGTAGGTGTGGCCTTGTTGGAGGAAGTGTATCACTGTGGGGGTAGGCTTTGAGAGCTTCCTCCTAGCTTCCTGAGGAAGCCAGTATCCTTCTGTTTACCTTCGGAGCAAGATGTGGGACTCTCTGCTCCTCCAGTGCCATGCCTGCCTGGATGTTGCCATGCCTCTTGCTGTGCCAATAATGGACTCAACTTCAGAACTAGTAAGCCAGCTCCATTTAAATGTTGTCCTTTGTAAGAGTTGCCTTGGTCATTGTGTCTCTTTACAGCAATGAAATCCTAACTAAGACAGTTGGAGTCTGGACGTTGGCATTGTTGTCCTTGGAGCATCTCCTGTCTCAATGTTATGTAAAAATTGTTTCCCAACACCTCTGATTGGCCAATAAAGAGCTGATTGAACTTATAGCTGGAGCCGGGCGGTGGTGGCGCATGCCTTTAATCCCAGCACTTGGGAGGCAGAGGCAGGCAGATTTCTGAGTTCAAGGCCAGCCTGGTCTACAGAGTGAGTTTCAGGACAGCCAGAGCTACACAGAGAAACCTTGTCTCAAAACAAAACAAAAAAAACAAAAGCAAACAAACAAAAAAGTGACTCCAAGGGCCAGAGAGATGGGTCAGTGGTTAAGAGCACTGGGTGCTCTTTCAGAGGTCATGAGTTCAATTCCCAGCAACCACATAGTGGCTCACAACCATCTGTAATGTAATGCCCTCTTCTTGTGTATCTGAAAACAGTGACAAGTGACAGTGTACTCACATACATAAAAAAATGAATAAATAAATCTTTTAAAAGAAAAGTGACCCCAAATTTATGTTACACAGATCTCTGAGTTCAAGGTCAGCCTGGTCTACACAGTGAGTTCTAGGACAGCCACAGCCAAGGCTACACAAAGAAACTCTGTATCTAAAACAAAACAAAACAAGAAAAACAAAACAAAACAAACAACAACAACAAAAAAACAAACAAAAAACTGATTTTGAACTAGAGAGATTACTCAGTGATTAAGCACAATGACTGCTTTGCCAGGAGACGCAGGATTCTCATCGTCCCCTTGGTGGGTCACAGCCATCTGTAACTGGAGAGCCACAGGACCTACCACACTTTTCTGGCACCTAACTGGTACACAGACATACAGGCAGGTAAAACATCCATACACATTTAAAAGAAAGAAGAAAGAAAGAAAGAGAGAGAGAGAGAGAGAGAGAGAGAGAGAGAGAGAGAGAATTCTAACTGGCCTTGTGCTAAAAGCCTTTAATCCTAGCTCTCGAGAGGCAGGTGCAGTTGGATCTCTGTAAGTTCAGACAAGCCTGGTCTACACAGAGAAACCCTGTCTTGAGGAGGGCAAGGGGGACCTGACTGCAAGTGTATGGTAGCTGTAGTTGTTACAACCTTGTGTAGCTGCTGTAACCCCAGAATGGTGTCCTGGGGACAGTCAAGAGTTAAAGACCCTGCTCAACCAGCTTGTCTATTAAAAGAGAAAACCACAAAGGGTTACAAGACAGGATGCCTACCATTCTAGTGGCAGGGACTATGTGCTTTTAAATGGTTACAGAAGAAGGAAATCAATACCAGGGCATGAATAAAGGGTGTTCTGTCATCTCTCTGTGCACAAGATGACTGATTGCTTTCTTCACTTGGCACTGGAACTCTGTCATAAACCAGTATAATTACTAAAAGTCATCAAGTAGAAGGCCCTTGATCTGTGAAGCAACTGCAAGCATAGGCACTTTGATCTGTGAGACATCAGCAGTAATGTCAGGAGAGTCTATCCAGATAGTTGG